CTTTCCAAATTTCTTCAAGAAATTGCATTTACTGGGAAAATCCAGCCATCTCGCCTAGGTTTGAATCCAAGATACCAGATAGTTGGCTCCGGTACTCCTTTCGAAACGATGCTTGTTTCAATCGATATAGGACCACCAACGGGAGATGATGACATAGATGCTTTAGGGATAATACATTATTTGAATATCGTATCCAAAGATCCATCAATACGTAATATGGGCATAGACCCGGATTATGGTGTTGAGCCGCTATTTGGGTAAGTAGTTCGCGTTTAACTATTCCACCCCACTACGTATATTAATAATTAAACCGATCTTATTGTTAGCCTGTGGCAGAGGTATCGGATAGAATTTATCGGCTTTCTTATAGCTATCCCGTTGTGTATTTTAATTTTCTTGTGGGTGCAATGGAGGAATCCTGGCGTAAGTTGTATTCAAACATTATTTATTCATCATAGGCATGAATATTATTAATCATTTTAATTTCGCATATAAAAATATTAGAGAAAGAACTTTATAATCCTTCACATTATCTTGATTATAACTGATTTTATCCTCGAGATTATTTTCATTACTGAAAATGCAAAAAATCTACCGCTACTCTTCGTATCGAGGTAAAGTTTATTCTTAATTGTAAACATCGCTGTTTTTTTTTTTTTTTTTTTAAAAAAAAAAAAAGAAGGTAATAATAGCTAATGTATTTATGATTTTCATTAAAGTGTAATCTTTCTAGTTGTTCCACTAGGGATTAACGCTTTCATGACCCTCTATATTATCATTAAAGAAATTCGTAAACCAAAATTTTTTAAATGGTTTAGTAAGAACAGCAAGGTCACATCTGTATTCTTTATTATTGCGATGGTTGATATCGAAGTTTTGATGATGTTGCGGTCGAACTTTACTGGGTATTACTTTCAAATTCCGATATTTGACAATGCGTTTTCAAAGATCTTGTGGGGATCTTGCGTTAACATTTTTATTAAAAATATTCCTCGGCTAGTTATTCAAGTAAGTTATTCATCATTCTATCGTAACCTTTTATTTGTATCTTATTATAACAAACTTTTATTCCGATATTACACTCGCTACGTCATCAGATAATCTACTATCAACGTATCGTGTTATACGACATGGTTTCGTTACTCTTGCTGATTTCATCTTCCCTTATACTCGCCGTCAACATTATCTATCTTTTACATCAAGCGACGGGCAGCATTCGACAACGCTCGAAGTCATCGGCCGATGAAACTGTCGAATCAAAAACAGTCGACGAGTCATTTCAAACAAGGCATCGATTAAGAAAGTTAAACTACAGAAGAAAATCTGTATA